TGGCGAATGTAAGCGCGCGGTGAGAAGCGTCGGCCTAGCGGCCCCGCTCGAGGCGGTGTTCGGCGAGGAATAGAATGGCGGTGCGGGGTGAGGAGTAGGGAGGCGAGGCGCGCCGCTGCCCGTCCACCGCTTACGCGACCGCTCGCACGTCTCCCCGCGCGGGGCCGCTAGGCCGCCCTCTCACTGCGCGCTTACATTCGCCAGTAGGTTGGGCTAATACGGCGATTTTTAAAATTTCGTATCTCGATAACTATTCGTCCAAGCGCAAAATAGTACAATACTTTTCTGTTTGTCTTAGTCCCCTCTACCTTCCCATGACCGGACGTCAAAGTCTTGCGTAGCACCCTGTATAGGGTACCTTTTATATGACGTCTTATGATGTTACGTGTACAAGATGTCTTAATGATATCTGTAAAATGTCTTATATTCCGATTTTAAACAACATATTGTTTGGAGATTGACAGGTTATGAAACATTTTTCTGTCTATGTGCAGATTATATATGTCAGATTTTTGTTTTTAGCAGTTGGATTCATGGCAAATTCCCAGCCAAAAGTTTTTAACCGCTATTAAGAATATTTATAAATACGCTGTCAATAATTATAAAAAGAGGTTGAAGTTATTTAAATCAGTAAAATTAACATCTTTGTTATAATATTCAATAATAGCCAGCCGTTAAAGTATGCATACAACCGATATATATTGAATTTTTAAGATTACTGTATTTTTGCTGGGAAGGTATACGTAATACATCCTTAAGCGTACTTAAAAATTGAGCGGGACAGCCATTATTGAGATACAGTAATGTAAGGGCCTTTCAACTCGACTCGAGTAAGGATATACGGTCGATCCTGCACGCTCTGCACGCTTGATCTCGCTCCGCTTATACTTATTGTTGGTACTATCGTGTCTCTTAATACAATGAATATCATTTGACGCCCTTATATGTTACTGTTCCTTGAGTGATTATATTCCTATTCAATAACGTACAACAGGACTTTGTCCTGTTATTAAAACATATAACGTATTATAACATGTACCATACAACCGATACAATTGAAATCTTTGACAAGATGACCTTCTTGTTAAAAATTTGAAATTATTACATGAATATTATATCTGTTAGGTTAGGTTAGGTTTTAAACAGGTATAATATTAAGACGGATATTATACCTGTTATTAATTTCCGTGAAATATCCATGGTGACATTTTCTCCATTTATTTGTAACAAAATGGCCGTCTCCAATACTAGCGGCTAGTGTAATGGCCGAGCTGTTCCTTGCCAGAGACATACGCAATCGTCAAAAGCATAAATACTAAACCTCTATAACAGATAAATACGAAACTTTACATATATAACGATATATGTTAACCTTTCACCGTTAATTACCGATATCATTATGCATTTATCATACATAACTATTGTACACCCAAACGACTGTCGGACGACACTTTCTACGTAATTCCAACTGTAATGTTATGTCAAAAATTTTGAGGATTTTAATCTCGGGACTCCTTGTTGAGTATCTCCGCTGCCAGCTTATCCTCCACTGACATATCAGCGTCCTCCCATCCCCATATAATTTTCTCTTGCGTATGATGATGTTCATCATTAAGATCACCCGTGCGCTCATATATCGAACCGTCGCCTATTCTGGCTGCGCGTTTCTTTATTAAGTCGTGTCCCACGGTCTTCAGATCGTACGCCCAGCCGAGCCAGGCGAAAAAGTCGATGAAAGCACAGGTGAAGTTTGAGCCATAGTTGTTTAATTCGCTGGTCTTGTAATCCCATGGAAACACGTGATGGTAATTGTGCCAGCCCTCGCCGAAAGCTAGGTAACTGACACCATAGCTGTTAGTGGCACTAATGGAGCTACGACAAAAATACGAACACGTTTGTCTTATTGATTTCTGTTTCCGCAGATTTACAACTTGAAATACGAATAATAGGATAAACGACATAGGCGGATCTTCGATGATACTTACGTGTCGTACGGTTTCGTACCCCACATATGGGCCGCGGAATTTACCAACCAAGTTATGTTCAACACTGTTACGTATTTGCAAACGGCACAGTACCACGCGTAAATGGGTTTCTCGTTCCAAAAGTAGATTGGTACCAACATGGGAAGCACGAAGCATAAAACAGGCATCAGAACAGCGTAGTACCTGTTACGTAAACGTAGAGATTCCTTTAATTAAAACCGGATGATAATCTTTCTTTAAGAAAGAACATATGATAATACAAGTGAAACTTTATCAACCCATCTTCGAAAGTAATATCTGCGTCGATGACAAATTGCCGTACCTACGTTGGAAGACGACGATAGGATCTTTCTCGAGATCGCTCATGTCGATCGTGGCTCCCTTACTAATAACGTCCGGATGCTTGCGGATCAACAGCCAGCCTACGTGCGAGAAGAAGAAGCCTCTCTTCGAATTATGCGGATCCGCATCCGTGTCCGTGAATTTATGGTGTACTCGGTGATCCCTTACCCATTCGTAAATGTGATTCTGCGATGCAAACATTGAATGATAACACAAGCTGGCAAATATGTACCCAAAGGTCAGAATATGTGAGGCCATTTTGCGACATATCTGAACTTTCCCTGGCCGAGATATTGCACATTAAATTTGGGATAATTTTAAGACTTATGAAAGCATTACTACAAATGTAGCATACCAATATAGGAGTACAATAAAAACGAAAATTTGCGGCATCTTGATGACTAAGGGCTCTGAAACTAAACAGTCCAAGCATTGGAACCTATAAAACCAAAACCCACAGTCCCGTAGCTACTTTGGACTACGTTGTAACTTCTGTAGAAACTTCTCTATAGTTTGTTTTGATTTTCTAGGTTTCGATGCTTAAACTTTGTAGTTTCAGAGCCTCTAGTCACCAAATTTACTGCAAGTTTTCTCTTTATGCTTCTTCTTCCTCATATGTACATTAGGCTTAAAGCCTGTTTTATCCACTTCGTTCTGGTACTTTGAGCATTTGGTTTTACTTCATCTTTGGTAGGTTGTAACCCTAGCCGAAAGAAATCTCCAATCTGGAGGCTTATATCCCTAAAGGGGTATGTCTGCCAGGATAATACTTTGTGGTCGCCACTTTCTTTCGAGAGATTCCGAAACTACTAGCAGTGTCCGTGGAAATAAACTCGGATCTTTTTGTTCCTTTGTTTAGTAAGCACCACATTTTTCTCTGCGCCGCACTCGCCACCTTCCTGTTATTGTATTCCTATATTATATATCCTACTTTTGTAGTATTGTTTTTATTAGCATTAAAATTATATCAACTCCGATGTGCAATAATTCGGACAGGAAACATCGTTTTCGGACATGCAGAAACGGAAATTGAAGGGAAAAACTTGTATTATAAGATACCACAAACGGTAATAAGCAAAAAACATTTTTTCTATTTGAGACATAAACTCAAATATGCCTCAAAATGGACTTTTTTGCACATTTAAGGTAAAATGTCTCAGAATCCTGACGTGCTAGGGAAAAACGGACAAAGGAGTCGTGTTCAGCACACGAAAAACCTTCGAGGTCAAATAGTCTCATCTTTGGGTATGAAAGAGCTTTTTTGTCGGCCTTTGTAATTATATTTAGACTTCCTCCCAGAAAGTTCGCTATAGAGTATATGTTTTTATTAACATTAAATCTATTTTTCCATTTTTATAATAATATATTGTAGTTTCAAATACATCTACGATGTATTACTTTTCAAATATAACAATGAGATAAAAATTGCAAATTTGTAATAAGGAATGAAAGTAGAGGAGTATGCTTAAAGTCATCAGCGATGAACGAAAATTGTACAAAGTTTATTGTTAATCCGTCTAGCAATATAATAGATTAAATATTACAGTCGTACGACGTTTCGACCTAAGTATCAGGTCCTTATCAAGTAATAGAACTCTGCATAGATGTTCGCGGAGCATAAATTATAGCAGACTCACAAGACATTGTCAACGAAGAAAATCTTCAGGAAAATAACTTAGTTCCAAACGTCGTACGAATGTAACATTTAATCTATTATATTGCCAGCTGGATCAACCAGAAGCTTTGTTTTAATTTTTGTAATACTGATTGATACCTTTCTTAACACACATGAATAAGTTTGTATAACAGCATTGCCTTCAAACTTACTTGGAAAGCAGCGGTCTGTAGAATCATAAGAATAACTCTCATCGGCCACTTCGCTTTATAAGCTCGATGACACCACAATCTGTGGGCACCTGCTGTAATAGCTAGACCTGTAAGAAAACCCACTGCAACACC